GACTTTTAGGATCCCCCCAATGATAGAGACGATCAGGTAGAGCATACCGACCGCGACAACTCTGTGGAGCAACGCCCCGAGTCTGGGCCTGGTGATACAAAATACACAATATTAGGTTCAAGTTAATATTATTGCTTTTAACTAACCTAATACAGTTATGTGAAATTCATTGACATAATACATTCGATTAAAGTAATGTTTCTGTGTTTTCAGTGTGCCATTTGTGCCCGAGAAAATAATGTAGTATTTTTGTTTATTCAACATGAAGCATCCCCTGCCACGTTGCAATATATGGATAACCTGACCCAGATTAATAATTGATTATTAATCATGGGGGGATGTCTCCTTAACTTCCATGTTTAATGTCCGTTAACATTTGGATGGATTTGGCTCATCGTCATTTTGGACTCTACTACTTGAGTGACACCCATTTTTGAAACTATGTATTCATAGTTCCCTTCATAGCTATCATTTTAAGTGTAGACATTACTTTAGGTGAAATGAAACTCCTTCAGCTTACTTGACGATGCCATATCCCAGACTGGCGATGATCACCAGTATTCTGGCCAGAGTCCTCTTCACGGCAGAGAGCACCACAGCAAACACCACCGCCCCCTGGACTGCAGGAGGACATATCACAACGTGTTAACAATCCAAGCCCTGCGTAACAAATGTTCACTTCAATCACTCAATGAAACGCTTAATTTCTTCTGAAACATTGACTTTTAACGTTGACATTATGTCAACAATTTAGGTTAGTTAAAAGCAATAATATCAAGTTAAAGCTAATATTTTTTTAAACGTAATATTATTGCTATCAACTAGCCTAATACAGAGTTTTGAAATCTCTTGACATAATACATTTAATTAAAGTAAACGTTTCTGTTTTTCAGTGTACCTGACAAGCCATTGTATCTGATGTTCTGCAGCTCAGCGTAGTAGACGGCTTTCTCCACCATGCCCAGGAAGATGACTCCTCCGATCCAGAACTGGATCCTGAGCAGATCCCTCCAGTAACACGCCGACAGAACCAACCACAGCACCGCCAGCAGCACGTACACGATACACATCACCATGAGGAACTGCAGAATAACAGGGAGAAAAAACTTCTGACTTGTGGAAAACTTGTGCAAGAAATGCAAATTGACAAAAAGAATAGATTTGTAATGGTTTGAACTTTGACCTGCTCGTATATGGAGGTATTAAAGTGTGATTAGCAATGATCATTGTTAACTGTGTGGCCTAACGTCCAACACAGTGCCTGCTTGTTAAATGCCTTTAACATAAAAATGTGCAAATGTGTAAGCTATGACCAGAATTTTAATTCCACATTCACAAAATGTCTGAGATTATGATCAGAATGTGAAGAGGTGATGCTAACCATGGCCTATCCTCTCTTGTAACACACATGTTCCTATATAGAGGCGACAGTGAGACACTGTAGCGTCAGCCTGCCGTCAGAATATCAAAAGGTACACCAATCGTAGAGCATAAATCGGGTGATGTTCTTTCCAACGGTGTTACTCCTGTTTGAGAAAAATACACTGACCAGCTGTTTTCATACATTTCTGAGACTCGCAAAATAAATGCTCAACAGATTTACATCTTCATTAGGAACCAAAAAAAGCAGGCCACAAACAGGAAGTGAGAAAATACTGAGAGCTGTGTGTGTGTGTGTGTGTGTGTGTGTGTGTGTGTGTGTGTGTGTGTGTGTGTGTGTGTGTGTGTGTGTGTGTGTGTGTGTGTGTGTGTGTGTATGTGTGTGTGTGTGTGTGTTCTTACCACCATCATAGGCCACTCAGTTGCTGAAATGTAGTCATGTGAACCCTTCATGCTGATCTCCACTGCAAACACAAACAAAGAGTTCATCAGATCCACGGCTCACTACATTAGTTTAACACTTTAGATCAGCTGACCACGCCAAAACACACCTTCAAAATGGACGGTTCAACTTCAACCTAAACAAAAATAATACAGCCTTTAGTAGTGTTATCACGGTACCAAAAGACTATGACTTTGATACAAAGCCTGCCTAAAGTACCTCAACATCATACTACGAAAAAAAACTAAAACAAGAGGATGGAATTTACTTAAAGGCTTAACTAAATGTTTTAAAAAAGAAAAATACCCACTGAAAATACTAAGACAATAATGAAACTCTTCATCAGGGATCAGGGATGTCACAATAGCAGAAATTAAGCAGTCAATACTAGTGACATTCCAGGATCCTTAATACAATTATCATTATATATATACATAATCCCAATTCGATACTACAGTGAAAAACAAAATAATACATCTGTGTGTGTGTGTGTGTGTGTGTGTGTGTGTGTGTGTGTGTGTGTGTGTGTGTGTGTGTGTGTGTGTGTGTGTGTGTGTGTGTGTGTGTGTGACTGACGCTGTAATTTCCAGGGTTCGAGGGTGTTAGCGATGTCCGGGGCCCAGGCATTGTCTTTGATTTCTTTGATTTTCAGGATGAACATGTAGGGTCCGTCCTCCCAGGTCTCAGCCACCGCACTGAATTGAGCTGCATCCTGAAAAACAAAGATAGAGGAGTATTCAAAGTTAAATAAAGTTATCATCACTCTTTATGACTGCAGCAGAAAAGATGGAGCTAAGGACGTAGCTTTCCTTTACATGACTTTGGGAGGGAAAAATATGAAGTGGGGATGTCTGGGGAAGCTCCAATAGAAAAATGTTAGTGTCAAATATATCGTTTTCTGCATTCTGGTAAAAATGTTATGCAAAACTCAAATTATAAAGGTCTTTATCTGAAAGAAAACACAATATTGAGTATAACATGTGACACCCAGGCTTTTGGGTTTTCTAACATATTAAAAAATATAAAAAAATATGTTGCATGCGATTTTGAAATTAAAAGCCTTTGAATTTCCATTGAACTCATTGTTCAAAACAATAAGTTCAATGCTCACGAATTCAGAAGGGAAAACTTCACATTTAAAAAAATTCTTATTCTCCTCACTGAGTCAACACACATGTATTGATTGACTTAAAAGTCCAAATGTGTTTCAGCAAGATTTCTTCTAATTTTGAGGGAAATAAAACTAATTAATACTACATATATACAATTTTGATTTAATTAGAAGAAAGTCATACTATATCAGAGAACTAAGTCATAATATAGTGAAACATTTATGAATATAAAAAGGCAGAAATCCCGCCATTTTGTGGCTTATTGTCCACACTGTGAACTTCACCACCTCCGGTAAAGTGAGGCTCACAGCTACGTCCCTCAGCTTTTCAGGGGGAAGTATTATTGAGTAAATGCTAATTCCTTCATCTATGAAATGGAGCCACCTTTGCTATTAACAGCTTAATTCTTAAAATAACATCTATCGATTGAAATACTACTGGTTGGAAAATGTCCCTTCTGCTCCACTGGTAGACCCCCACAAATAATATTGCTGGTTGGTGTCCTGTCTCTGCAGGATAAATAATGTTCTGTAACACAAAACCTGGTATCACCCAGCATTAAAACCAGCACGGCACGCTCCCAAGTCACAGGCTCCTCCCACAGGACGCCTGATACAGGTTCACCTCACCCAGCAGGACAGGAGCAGACTAACCTCTTTAGTAGTGACGACAGCCTTTCCTGTGACATTTGAAGCATTCTGCTTCAGTTCTGCAGCAGCCTGAGGAACAAAGAACAATAGGATCAGTGAATTAACTCAAACATGCAACTTTTAAAAGCTCAAAACCTAAAATAAATTTTAAAAAAGGTTTCACGTCACAAAATGCCTTAATCTACATATCAGGGAAAGATAATACCCTAATGATTTAAATAGGCTATACAAGTGTTTATACTGGGTAGTTTATTTAGTTTATAAATGTCTCTTTCATAATGTAATTCAACAGGAAAACGTTGCATGTGTTTCGGACAGTCCGAACTTCCACTTTCTTTCAAAGTGTTCATCAAACATACTTTCTCTTTCACTACGTTTCTCTTTATGATATATCTGTTAAATGAATGTTCTACTGGAGTTCTAATGTTGGTTCTGCTACATTTTCTGTTATGTGTTCTACTCTATGAACTTAAATTAACAGCATGAACTACACAAACTACACGTTCTAATGTTTTTCCTGTTCTGCTATACTGTATGTTGTATTTTCTTTACTGAGTATTCTAAGTGTTGTTCTGCTGTGTGAGAGAGTTGATGTGCACACCTTTGGTTTATACGAAAATATACGTTTGGAATGGTCTGTCAAGTTCATAAACATTTTGAACAAAGGCAAGACTAACATTTATACTTTTTGAAAATGAACTAAAAAATGAATTCAAATAAATAATAATTTAAAAACACAGAACAATAGAGTTAAGGTGAGTTATATTTTGCTAATTATTGGAGATTAAATATTTATTTTCTAATAATTATACTGTGACAATTTCGTTAAATGCCAGTTCAGCAAAAATACTCTTCACTGTTCTAACCATGACTGTGGAATCTGTGGATCTTTATCATCCCCTGGTGGTCAGCACCATATAGGTGTTCATATGTCAATCAGATGGGACATGAGCCAAACTAAACAGTCCAAGTACTTTTCAAACAGATTTTTCACAGTGCAGCGTCTATGCTAATAAATGACCTGTGACAGGAATGAGGATGTCTGTTTGTGTATTAAACACATTGCATGTTTATTTAAGCATTAATAGTTCAGGTGCCTGAAGCCATAGATATATATAAACACTAGATGGCTCATGGGAGATTTTCCAGCGTAGCTCACCGGCCGCCATCTTGCTACAGTCAACAGCTACTCTGGTACGCACTATGGTAGCTGTTGTAAGGTGAGTGATCTGCACACAAATACTCTTAAATCGCTGAAATCTTGACTGATTTACAAACGGTTTTGTTTATTATAAACGTTATTAGCATGGCTATGATACAGGATGCATGGATATGTTGAAATTGCAGCTTTTCTTTGTGTATGTGGTTGTATTTATTAGCTGGCTAATAACAAGAGGCTGTGAGTGAGACCTAGTATTACAAAGTTGACCCAGCAACTTTACACCAGTGGGAGAGGCAGAACTGCTCTTTCTTTTCAACATAACTTAAGTTACACATGATTTCTTCCAAGTGGTTTGGCTTGTTAAAAACATCTTACATTTTTAGATACATTATGATACAGGAAATTGCTGGCTTTGTATTTACAGAAGTACCTGACTATGCCTGACTTTTGTGCAGCCTACGGCTGCTCTAATCGCCGCAGTCTGCAAACAAGAACCCGTGGAATCACGTGTAAGATATGACATTATTATGACTATAATTAGGATAATCGTTAATTACTTAGTGGATGTATGTACATTACAAGTCCTGCTACACAGGATCAGTGGGGCTATGTGAGATAATAGTATTGCAAGATTGTTGTTGACCCAGCCTCTTTAGAATATGTTGTTACCATTTCTTTACACAATTATGTAATGTTTCTTTTGGACACCTTTTTTATTACTCTTAGTGTGGTTGTCTTATTCTTAAAGTATACATACATACATTACATACATACATACAATTACCCCAAAAATATGATAATTTCGGTGTGTATTTTTGTCCTTACCATTAATGTTAAAGGAAAGAAGGGCGGACAATGTTGACAATAATTTATATATCTGGCTACATTTCTCATGTTTTTAAGGTTTCCCAAAACCGGAGAGAGGAGGAGGCAGTGGGAAGTTGCCCTAAGAAGGGACGGTTTTGTTTCCTCTGGCAGGACGCTGCTCTGCAGTGAGTACTTCAGGAGTGAGGACTTTGACAGGACGGGGCAGACTGTCCGGCTTAAAGATGGTGTTGTGCCAACAGTATTCAATTTCCCAGCTCATCTTCAAAGGGTATGTGTATCATTGGCCAACAAGAATTCAAGGTGTATAAGATTGATTGATAAATATGTGATTAAATGTCACACTTTAGTTTTTCTTTCTGCAAGTTTAGGAATAAATAATGTGTTGTGTATTACAGCACATTTTAAACACTCAAAATGTCTTTAATTATGTTTATTTTAGCCGGAAGCAACAAGAAGCACAACCACTTCAAGAAGAGCGGAAGATGAACCTCAGCCTAATGTTGTGAGTATTCTGAATGTGGCCAAGACCAGAGAGATGGTCATTGATTTCAGGAGGGTGAGGACGTCTCTTCTACCCCTGTGCATTCTGGGAGAGGATGTGGCTGTTGTGGAGGACTACAAATACCTGGGAGTGCACTTAGACAACGGACTGAACTGGAGGATCAACACTGATGCTGTGCACAAGAAGGGGATGAGCAGACTCTATTTTCTGAGGAAGCTGAGATACTTCCACGTGTGCAGTAAGATGCTGGAGATCTTCTACCGGTCTGTTGTGGCCAGTGCACTCTTCTTTGCTCCGGTCTGCTGGGGGGGCAGCATCAGAGCCGGTGATACCAGCAGGATCAATAAACTAATTAGGAAAGCTGGGTCTGTCATCGGCATCAAGCTGGACCCCTTTGAAGCTGTGGTGGAGAGGAGGACACTGAACAGGCTGTTGTCCATCATGGATAACCCCACCCATCCTCTCCACCTGCAGCTGGACAGTCAACGGAGCTCCTTCTCCAACAGACTGCTGCAGCTCCGCAGTGCCATAACTCAACAAATCACCTCTGGCTGGAAGATAACTCTCTGCTCCATAGTTTTTCTTGAATATAACCACGTTGTACATTTTACACATATATAATCTATTTAATATTTAACATTAATATTCCATATGCCTTATATTTATGTATAATATATATATATATAATATCCTGCCAAACTCAACATGTATATTTTCCTCTTTCTTTTCTTTATTTTTCTTGCTTATTTCTAATTCATTGTAAAATGCTTTGTCCCTTATGCTGCTGTAACTAAACATGTTTTCCCAAATTGGGATCAATAAAGTACCCTCTTATCTTGTTTTATTTGCATGTGGAATGTCACTAACAAATGAGAGCATCATATGGCTTGTCATATTAAATCCTTTATCTCGGTGGTACCCAGGAAGGTCTATGATGGTGTTACTAGGAGAGCCCAATATAATTTGAGGTGGTACTCTGTGTAAAAGGTTTGAGAACCACTGGCCATCTCACTTGCTCTATGTCACTCATACACTTGAATAAACATGTGCAAACATTGAAACTACACCCAGGGATTGGCAACCTTTACAATCAAAATAGCCATTTTTGTCCAGAGCCTCAAAACATATTTTTGCCTTATAAGGGGAAAAGCCTATTAAGATCAATTTCTTAAAAGTACGCTGAGTTGTGTTTTCTGTTGGAGAATGTAAGAAAAATCAGGCTCACAGTATTGATAAGTGAACATTGAATTGTTAAAAAAGTAACTTATTAATTTCCATATTACTATTATTTATATATTCGTATAATTGTGATAAATGAGACAGAACTGGCCTGTCTGTGAGCTCATTGTATGTTGGTTTGGTTCTTCTGATAAAGGTGTGAATATCTAAATAATATACCACCATATGCTATTGTCATTAGTTGTGTCCCTATTCTTAAAGCCAAGGCATTGCTAAATTAACAACTCTTGGCTTACAGAGTGGTAACATGAGACCGATTTTTATATATAAAATATAAATATATTTTAATTTTATAATTTATTTTAAATATTAACAATATAATAAAAATAAATGGAAATATATACACCGGCAAATATTTAATATAAATACCTTGTGTGTGTGTATAGCTATTGCTTTATCTGCTTAATGTTATTTTCATAAGAAAGTCCATGACTATAAGTATACAGTATCATAACTACATCTTTGATGTTTATAAAAAACCAAACCGTTTGAAAATTGAGCAAGCTATGGTTATTTAAATAGTAAACCATAATGTTATGAATGAGAGAACTGCCTGTAGCAAGATGGCGGCCAAGTGGCAACGTCGGTCTCCATTGGCCAGCAGCGCGGGTGAGTCATCTAGTGTTTATATATATCTATGCCTGAAGCAGCCTAAAAGGTGCGGCGACCCTCTAAAAGACTTCCTTTTAAAACAACGCTGGGGCATAAATATTTAACAAAGCTTTGACTTTATTGAGGTTATAAACTATTAACTTTAATAAAGCTTTGCACCTATGATACGTTGACTGAGCACATCCTGAAAGAGCACTGCGCTAGTAATATGTATTTATTATCCATTTCAAAGTGAAAAAAAGGATAAGGCAGGGTATGCTTAAGGGCGGGGCTAAATTGTGATGGACAACTGCCAAGAATCTGTCCGATTTGAGTGCACTCCTTCTGTCATAGAACTTTAACCATTTCTCTGTGTTCTCAGTTCAACAGTAAATTGTAGTATTTGAATGGCTAAATATTTATAATTCGCTGCTCTATTGTACTTAGCTCAACCCTACCATGTCATGTCTGGTTGCAAAATTACAAGATGGAAACTTGCCAAATGTAAGGTTACAAAGCTGTAGTCCAAAAAACAATAGGTGATGTTGTGAAAGCCTATTCCAGCTCCTGGCCTTTGTAGCCAAACAGCTACCATGTTGCTAAAGTAGCAGCTAGGTTGCTCACACTATAAAGCTGTGGCCTATTTGGCTTGTGATTGGGTCATGGGGTTTCACTAATGCTCAAACTGTTGTTCCAAATGACAATAGAATCTTAAACTGGCATGTCATGTATCCAGCCTATTTTGGCTTCACTTTTTAACAGTGGGAGGAAGTGGAGATGCGATGCAAGACATTTTGTTTTAGCAAATGCTTACTATTGTAAACCACCCCATGCAGTGTGACAACAAAAAGTGAAGTTGTAGCAGGGTGGGGGGAAATAAAAACTAAAATACAGAAATAGGACAAGGACTTTTTCCGGTCAACCAATCAATTAAATTATGTTTTGTTATTTAAATTGACATACTTGGTTTTTGCTTCTTGGTTTTAGTTTTTTGGTAATAGGACTGTGTTATCTTGCTTTGGTATGTATCGATTATAATATTGGACAAATACAGATAATTTAATTTGATGAAAACAAATTGATGAATTAGTTGATTTTGTACCATCTCTATAGGTCACCAAGCTATCCCTCCATCTGTTTATTTAAACCTTTTTATTTTTGACAGATAAATATTTTATATATTCTGTCTGGCGCCCAAATTTAAAAATGGTATACTTTTGGGATAAATCCTACGCTACAAAGTGAGCGCAGCAAAATACAATCATAAGCATGAGCAGTTAATATCATAGAATAGGCATGCAGAGATTGGAAAGGCACTAAAAACACCTGCATACTCACGAATGACAAGAAGCAATGATGGATTTCCCCTTTGAGAACATTGCATTTGTATAGTTTGCATTACAGCTGCTTAAAGTCCAACAGTAGATTTTGATTGTGCTGTTTTTTTCTTGTGCCGCTCCTGTGGAGACAGGTAGGGAAACAGAAAGGGTCTCACCTGCTGAGGGATTTCTTCTAGTCGTGTTTTCGTCCCAAATGTATCAAGGTGAAACTGTGTCATAAAACAAACACACCCATATTAAAACATAGCCCCCACATACACTCACTTGATTATTCATCTGCCATGTGTGTCAATGTATTAAATGTGTGTGTATCACCATGTGGTGCTTGCAGGTGATGGCAGGATATTGATGAAAAACATAATATCCGCTTCCGCCTCCTTGCTTGACCTCCTTCGACATGAAATATTTTTCTGCCTTCGACGCCTGGAGACGAACAATCAATCAAACAAATAGGTTGTTAGAGGTGTTATTCAGTCAGTACTGTAGAGTTTAGCAGAGAGGACTAGTACAGTATAGCACAGTAGAGATCAGTAGAGAAGAGTATAGTACATTATCGTACAGTAGAGAGGACTTTAGTAGAGTATAGTAGAATTCAGTATAGAAGAATATAGTACAGTATAGAGCAGTATAGTAGAGAGGACTTTAGTAGAGTATAGTAGAATTCAGTATAGAAGAGTATAGAGCAGTATAGTAGAGTTTAGTAGAGAGGACTATAGTACAGTACAGTATATTATAGGGATGTAACGATACCAAAAACTCACTGTACGATAATATCGCGATAACAAGTCCACGGTACGGTATTTATCGCGATATTGAATAATAAAGGGGGGGGGAAATTACATTTTTTTTTCTTCAATACAATTTTTTTTTACTCAGAAAATGTTTCTTTATTAAATAATAAATCTGATTTGTACAGTATTTTAGTAGGATAGCAGTATTTGAAAGTGTCAAAAACAAAGTGACAGTAACAGACTGGAACAAGAAAACCAGTGTGTTTGTACCTACTAGTACTACCAAACAAAGTAGGCATTTTCTTTGTGCCACTGCATCTCACAAATAAACAAGGACATTTAATAATCAGACCCCGCAATAAAATAAATCAAGTTTCACTTTAGTTTTTCAAGTAACTCAACTCAAACTCACTAAGTCACTCACTCAGCATCATCAGACAGGTTTTTAGGAATATGAGAATGTCCACATTTCCAGGTATTTATAAGCTTGGATGTTTGGGCATTTACAATATCCCCTGCTCTGGAAAAAACTCTCTCGCTTGGTACTGATGTTGCTGGGACAGCAGTGATCGCGTTAACCGAATATTTTATTTATCAATGACGGAAAAATCTGAAAGCAGTCTGTCATTTTGACAGATTAGAACAAACTCGGAACAGCGCCAACGTTTCCCCGCAGCGAGGCTCTGGTGTTATGCCGTGTTATGCATGCCCTCCAAAAGGAAATGATATAGTTTCCAAACCGTACTTTGCCGTACAGATCAATACATGTCTGAGAGGTTTTGCTTTACGCTGTGCGCGCTCCCGCGAGGTGCATGCACACTCGGCATAACACCGCCCCCCCCCTTGACAGTTCACGAGCGTGCTCTCTTGTGAACTGTTCAGACCCAACGGGTAATAAGGGATTATGACAGACATTTTACGATCCTGTCTGTCAAAATGACGGACAGCGAAAAAGTCTAACGCCACCTCAGTGGGACGGAGAGATATGCTTTGGCCATGGGTGACAGCAGTGGGTCAAACTGTGCATTGTCTCTCCACCACTTCAAAAACAATACAGTTGTTGCCAAGAAGGTGAGGCTTATTGACAGGGCGAGATATAAATATACTGTTGGTACTTGTCAATGTCTCTAGGTGTGTAAATGTAGCCCTGTAAATACGATGTCCTTTTGTGTTATCTGTTGTTTTATGTTCATGTTGTAACCTACTTGCTGCCATATTGGACAGGTCTCTCTTGAAAAAGAGATCGATGATCTCAATGGGACCACCTGGTTAAATAAAGGTTTAAAACAAAAAAAGTGTTTTAAAAAAATAATTAATTACATTTTTTTTTTTAAAATCGCGGTAGATTTAGTCGGTCTCACGACGGTATTGGGACGTTTATTTACCGCGATACCGTGATATTCGGTATATCGTTGCATCCCT